TCAAAAATTGTGTAATTTTTTTTTTCCATATTTTAAATCTATATATATTGGAGAATTGAAAAATGCATTTTTCCTTTCTAGAAAATATTTTTGTATATAGATTTTTATCATGAGAAACTAAGTTGCCAGAAATACCAATTTCAGATGTTATCACAAAAAAAAAAAAAAAAAAAAAAATTTTAAAATAAATTTCAGTCGAATTACAGTTAATTTCTATTTATTGCATAATATAAAAAAGTGAAATTATAAAATTTAAGGGAAAAAAAAAAAAAGCTCTGAGGAAAAAAATACCTTAGAAATGCAGTTTAGTATGATAGAGTTCAAAATAGGGCTCAAGGCAAAGTCCAACTTTACAGTTTTTGCACCAGATTCAATAAATCTAATTAGTAATCAATCTAATTATTAATCTAATCAAAATATAATTAATAATTTAATAATTTAATTAAATAATTAAATAATCGTTGAATGTTTTCTAGCAGCCATTTCTGTAAGAAAAAAGTGGCAAAATGTCGAGTTTGAGCGGTAATATCACATGGCTTCAAACACCACAATTTAGTGGACAACTAACGATATTTGTTGGCTGAAACGTAAACTAAACGTCTAATACTGTGTATAATTTATTTCAGTGGTCAAACAGGGAAAAAATGGGATGTGCTCATCAATAAAGGAAAGAAAACACATGCTCACGGAAATAGCGGTATGAGCAGATTTTGCTACATTTGAGTTGCCCGTGGAAATTGCGTGATGAGCAGCCAGAGGGTTAAATATTCTTTTACCATTCAGCACCACATACTTGTGTGAAGTGAACTTTTTCAGCTTTAAAGACCTTAAATAAAATTTAAAAAAAAAAAAATCGTTCAGTGTTGAAAATCATTAAAGTTCTTCCATCACCTTCAGCAGATCAAATATTATACCAAAATTTTGTTTGTTATGCAACAAAAGCAAGCATATCTATCTTATTAAAACAAGAATTTTAGTTCATTTTTTCACACTTCAAACAATGCCTAAAACTACAACTTCCCATATGTGTACTGTTTACGAAAGAAGTAAATTATTTATTTGAAATTTTTTTTATATGCTTATTTTTTATTTAATGACTGGTGTTGCGAAAAAAATCTATTATGAAAGGGGTCAGGAATGAAAAAAGTGTAAGAAGCACGAGTATATTTCCGTCTACAGTCATAAAGAGTTTATGAGATCAGAATTTGATGAGCAAATTTTTTAAAGCAATGTCATTATTTACTTTAAACTAAGCAACCGGTGAAGTATGTCCTCTGCTACTGCAGCAAGAAGTATTACTTGACTGGTAACAGCTGAAATAATATTAAGACTACTGTATATTTTAATTGTCTTTTTTCTCAGAATTCGGAGATTCAAGATTTTCTCAAGGTGAGGGTAAATTGAAAAATAAGTTTTTCCTGTCGACTGTGATCAGAGTTGTGTATGAAAGTCAAAAAATAGAATGAGACATTAAAGATATGACATACCTTTATTTTTCCACATAGGTACCAAGTGCATTGAGACATTTGTCATATCGCTTGATAAGCTTTAGGGCTTTGCATATGGAAGAAGTGTTGAACGGCTTGTTTCACTTCAGTATTGCTTCCAAAGCACCTTCCCCCGAGATTTTTCTTCAAAGCCGGAAACAGATGGAAGTCGCTTGGTGCGAGATCAGGACTGTATGGCGGATGGTGTAGGCGCTCCCAACCAAGAGTTGCAATATGGTTTTGCGTTGCCATCGCCGAATGTGGTCTGGCTTTGTCATCCAACAGCAGAATGCCAGATGTGAGAAGGCCAGGCCGCTTTTTCCGAATCGCCTCTTTCAATTTCAATAGGGTGTCACAGTAGCACGTAGCATTGATGGTTCCAACCTCCAAAAAGTCCAGCACAAAACTCCTTGGGCATCCCAAAAAACTGTGAGGAGCACTTTACCTGCAGAGGGAGTTGTCTTGAACTTCTTTCGGACAGGTGATGACGGATGTTTCCACTCCATAGATGCGGCCTTCGATTCTGGCACGAAATGGTGGACTCCCGTTTCATCACCCGTCACAATCTAAAACAGAAAAGTCATTGCCATCTTCATGGTAACGCACGAGATGTTCCATGCTGACCCCCATGCGTTGTTCCTTCTGTGTCGAGGTCAATTGTTGGGGCACCCATCGTGCTGACACTTTTCTGTACCGAAGAATGTCGTGGATGATGTTTTGAGCTCGCTCATGTGAGATTCCAAGTTCTTCTGCTACTTCATCGATGGTGATACGCCGGTTCGCTCTAATCATGTCATCCACCTTCCTGACATTTGCATCTGTAGTGGCCGTACGCATCCGTACAGCTCTCGGTATGTCCTCCACTTGCTGACGTCCATCACTGAATGTACGACACCATCTCCACACCATTTGCTTCGACATCACACCTGGCCCATAGACCTCCACGAGGCGGTTATGAATTTCTGTTCCTGATACTCCACGTGCCCATTCATAGTGGATAACCGCTCTCACTTCCTCCTTTGACCACGAATTCAAAACGCACCTTCTCTCCATACATACTGGGCTCAAATGAGAGGCTGGTCTCCACTTTGCACAGGCACTGCAACAGCGCCATCTGCTTGATTTGCAGCGACCTCTACCCAATGGTGTATCGGTGACTTGCACGTTTTCCTGCTGTGTCGCCTTTCGCCCATAGCCGTTCAACGCTTCTTCCATATGCAAAGCGTGAATTTTTCTTGGAGGTCTTTTTGAAGCTTATCAAGCGATATGACAAATGTCTCAACATAATTGTACGAGAATAATGAAATAAAGGTATGTCATATCTTTAATGTCTCATTCTATTTTTTGACTTTCATACACAACTCTGACCACGGTTGGCAGGGGAAACTTATTTTTTCAACTATGTACTTTTGTAGTTTCTTAAAAGTCTTACAGAAAAGTAATCATCCTCAAGTATTTCTCTCAAGCATGGAGGTAAGAAAGGAAGGAGTGGCCAAACCGGCATTAGAAGTGAAGCACTGCTCTGAATCTTCGGCACCAGATGGGTGTTTTTTGTTTACATTCAGAAGCTCGCTTGACAGTTCTCTGATAGTATTTCGACACATGACAGTTCCATACAAATCGAAAAACGGGACACTTCTGCATAAAAAAGACATTCCTAGTATGGTGGATAATAGCAATTTGTATAGTTTAGCGACATTTATGCAAAAATCACATCTTGGTTAATTTTCGATAACTAACAACAGCGATTTTATTTTATGTTTCAAATGCTTCACATCCACATATTATTGTAACATGTACTTTTTAAAATTAGTGTAAATTACTTTACTCAAAAAATATAGTGAATGCACAGAAATTAAAGATTTCCACATGCTGGAAATGAAAAATATGAAATATGTATGGGTATTTATGCATGTGCTTCCAAAAAGCATGTATCTGCCTTTAACAAAATATGTAAATATTTATATTATTTATAAATGTATTCGAAATGAAGGATTCGTTCTTTCATAAATAACTGTGAAAGTTACTGTGAAGAAATCTAATTATTAAATGTATCTAAATTTATAATGATTATAAATATTATCTAAAAATATAATAACCTTAACATTGAATTGTAAACATAAATTGACATCCTGTTGACAAACATGTTATAAAACTATTTAAGCAAGAATTGTTCGTACTGGAAAGCAACGTGTTAAAAGGTATTGTAAAGTAATTTATATGAGATGTGTACTTGAGAATGTAATACAGAAGAGTTTTGGAATATTTATTGTTGAAATTAAGGGTAAAAAAATCTAATAAGTATAATTAAAAGAATTATTCTTCTTACATTTTATAATAAGTCATTTACAAGTTTTAAATAATATTTTAAAAATAATCCTTATTTTATTCCCTTTCAGAAATATTCAGAGTAAGTGAAGTACTATTTAAAGTATTTCGCTATTAAATTAAAAGTTTCTCTAATTTGAAATGGACCGAATGGAGCATTAATTATAAATTGACTTATAGTTTTCGATTTAAAAGATGCCTTAGAAGCTAAAAAATCATGTCTTATTTAAAAAAGTATTTTAGGAAGGAGCTTTACAAATTGAAAAGAAATAATGCATAATTTTAATAATACAATAAACTTTGATCTTAATTTTTGTAATCCTTAACCGAATCAAATTGAATTACCTTAATTTTTTTTTTCTAATGTAATTAACGAAAACGTGTGAAAATATTTCAAATTAAACTGTTCTGAGCAATCTGTTCTGTGAAGAGTATAGCATTTAATTTCGTTCAGAACGAAATGTTGTTTAAAAATGTATTCTTTTCATATACTTAGGACTCTGAAGTATTGTAGAAAAAGAAAATACATCTATTTATATGCATATTTACGACGTAATTACAAAATATCTACATTCGATTGTGTCAAAACCCATTGAACTCAATGGTAAATTACCCAATGTTTTGGTCACCAAAGAAGGGATCGCCAGTGTTTCAAAGCAGGGTATGGGTAAACCAGTTTAGGGCCACTCCATCGAACTTCCAACCTCCATGCTCTCCAGAAGGGGGGGAGTTCAGCTTTTTTTTTGGGTCCTGTAGCTGAAGTACATGATGCTTGTTTTTATATTAATGTTATACTCTAAAGTGAGAAAATGTATGATTTTTTTATAGGAAAGGAGATGAATCATGGATAATTTCTGCAGAAAGTAAATGATAGGCCTAATTCTGAGCTCATATAATTATGAGTTTAAAAGATTATCTTCACTTTCCTTTCAGTATTAGCAAATTTTGCGTAGTAACAAGGAATATTTAATCAATTCTGTCTTCTATGGCAGTTAAAAATGAAATATGTTTGATCTTAGTAATGGATGTTTCTGTAATGTAAAGATGTATGAGGCTTTTATTATTTTAAAAAAATTAATGTCATCTTTCTGACACATTTTATTACATAAAAATGTGCAAGTTTGTATGCTTTCACTCATAATTTATATACTGTGTCGAAAAGTTGTTAAATTTGTATATTTGCAGGTTCCTGTGATCCTGTCATCGATGAACATTTTAGACGTTCATTAGGAAAGGATTATCAACATATATTTTCAAAGACATCAGGAAATAGTGTTTCTATTACTGGTAAAAAAAATACTTTTTATTTAAAAGATCTAAAAAAAAGTGTCTTGAAATTAGTCTTTTATGGAAAAGGGGAGAAAACTTAAAATTTAAAACACTAACTTTTTAGTTTGTAATTATTTTTATGTTACTGTTAATATAATAATTTCTTAGTGTTGTTTTTGTTTTGTTGCTTGACTGAAAATTTGATTTTCTTCAAGTTTTGAGTGGTATAAATTCCTAATGAACTTATGTCACTTTTCTGTATTTGTTAATTTTGGGTGCATTAAACAAAAAAAGGGGTAGTAGTGTTTTATACACCTGATTTTAATAAACTGATTGACAAAATTGAACTTCCATTTTTCATGGTACCTAGATTTTTTAATTTAAAATAATTTTTATAAATTTCTCCCCAATTTTGAATTATTATGTATAAAAATTTTATTCACTCAAAGAAAATAGTTTTTAGTAATTCCCTCTGCAACAAAATGAGATATTTTTTAATTGAAACTTTTAAAGATATATGCAGAAATATTTAGCTACGATTTCAAAATTAGTATAGTATTAAAAATAGTGGTGCAAAGTCTGGGCATTTAGTTTTTTTTTTAATAGTGTTTTATTTTTCATTTCAGTTTCGACTTTTACTAGGCTAAATATTTTAACTGTTTTGATTTAAAAGTATCAAAATAACATTTTTTCACAGTGAGACATGAAAATTTTGTTGTGTTTTGAAGAAAAAGTAAAACAAACAAAATACACATATAATGTGAACATAATTATTACTAACATTAAGGGTATGGCCTAAAATAAGGGAATTAGAGTTCACATTCAGATTAACTGAGTCATTGTCCTTAGCTTTGAGTTCCTTGACATATTCAGCATCAGTTGTATCAGATGAAATTATTTCACATTACTTCCTTATTTAAGAACATTGGTCTATACCACCATAAATCATTAACCTTGTCTATGGAGAGACTAATGGCCTCTAATATTCTATTCACTATTTTACCTATAGTACTGCACCACCAAAATTCCAAACAAGGATTGGTAATTGACTTCAAAGGTGAAACACAAGGTTTGCTGCAGGAAGACTTGATGTACATTCATTTGAAGATGGCATATATTTAACACTTAAGTACAGTGCCTTTTTGATTAGCATTGATGAATCCTATTATTTCTGTTTACTGTACTTCATCAGTTAGCTCAAATCTAGGAATGCGATAATTGTTGACTATTTTAAGACTATGCAGAAAATGTCTTCCATTCTTCAGAATTATTTTTAGGAAGGGGTGTGTTCCAGTTTATTTCAAGAGCCAGCATTTTTGCAGAAATAGTTTAGTACCAGGCCCAATTTTTGCAAAAATAGTTTAGTAACAGGCCCAATTAAAACTAATGGATCAAAGAGGCTATCATGTAGTTGATAAGACATCCTTTTTTGTTACTGTCTCTTCAGTTTTAGGTATCTTTAAATCATAAGAGAAACTGTCTGTGTTCATACTCCATGACATTTTCAAGGCCTTTGTAACCTGAGGCTTATTAGTAACTTGAAGAGAATAATTCTGAGTTACACTTTCTCTATTCTTCAATAGTTCAGCATTATTTCAACATCATTTGTATAACTGCATTCCACTATGTTCTGGAAGACAGATTACCTGCAACTCTCTGGCTTCTTCCAGTGTGTTAGTCCAGCTATAATGTCATCTACATAAGTCTGAGTATGGTTGTTGAGGCACAAGGAAATTCAATCACTTCATCCATTGCTAACTGCTTCATGAACCTTATTTCAAGGAATGGTGCACTTGCTGTTCCGTATGTTACAGTCTTCGAACTATAAATCTGCACTGGCCTATTAATTAATTCTCTCTGTAAGATCAGCTGTAGGTTTCTTTAAGATGGTGCAATAAGAATTTGTCTACACATCTTCTGAACATAGCTCCTAGTGCAAAATTACCCTTTCAAATCTAATAATAATAGAAAATAAATGAACGTGGGGTATTCATTCCTACATTAATATTGAATTAAGTGGCTTGCCATTAGTAGTAGTTGTTGATGCAGTAAATGCAATGCAGAGCTTGGTAAAAGTTTTCTCCAGTCGATAAACTCCATGATAACTGAGATCATTGCAGGTCAATATTTCAACTTATCTAACTTCTTCTGTGTGATTGAAATCCTTATATTCCTTGAAAAAATCCTTATACCACGTTTTCATGTCCAAATCACTTTCTAGTTGATTCCACAGTTGATGTAGTCATTTCTCAGAAAGGATTTTAGATTCTCTTAATAATCATATCTTCTCTAATTAATTGTACTAGTCATCTTCCATCTGTCACTTTTGTTGATAATGTATGTTTCACAGTATATTCTTCTTCACTCAAAACATCCTTGATATTTTCTGTGCATTCAGCTTTTCGAAATCTTTCCAAAATTTTATTCTTCACTATTTAGAACTAAGCCACAGTAAATTTACTTCAGAATTACTCTTACATGAACTAGATGTGATGCATCCAAAAACTGTTTCTTGGAATCTTAATGGTTGATTTTCGATCAAAATTTTCCAATTTTGAAAATTGCAACTATTCGGCCTCTAGTAACATGTCAACTTCCAAATTGGAGATCAGCTTATTGAACATCAGTACAAATATGTAAAGACTATGCATCTGAACTCCTTGATGGGATTACATTGGTAATTTTATAAATAACCAAGCTGTTGATTGATCTTAACACATTAAATCCTTATTTGAAATCCGTGCAGCTAGTTGATAATTAATATTTAATAACGTTCTCATTTATTCTGGATATGGAAGCATAAATCAGAGTTGCCAACTCCCGATTTAGGCGGGAGACTCCCGATTTACAATATATTTCTCCCGAATTTTTGTTATTCTTAAAATTTCTCACGATTTCTATGGAACTTGGCTTAATACTTTGTTATATGAACCCCCCCAAAAAAAAAAAAAAAAAAAAAAAAAAGTGATTTTGGAAGTCTGAGAGGAATTGAATTTTCTCTAGATTATATCTAAAACAAAACCTTGCAAATTAGATAAATTCTGCTTTGTGAGTGAGAGCATATATGTATCCAGAAACATTCTCCAGTTCTCCAATGGGCATCGTGCTCCACTGCGTGTCATCTGCCATATATTTAGCCAATAAGGACAAAGCAAGCTGTTATTTGGATGTTCTTTAGTTATTTTGGTCATATTGTCCTGAGTTGTGTGAGTACACATGCCTTCGGGAAATAGTTTTAGAAATTATCATCTTTTGTTATGTCTGCGAGAAAGGTGAAATACTCGTGTACGTTTCAAAAATCATACGCAGTTGACTTTCCTTCCATAATTTCCTCAAGGAAATGTAATAAATTTGCGATGTGTACCGCCTGTCGTTGCGATTTTTCGATTTCGCATGGTGGAAGGGCGAATGTTCTCAAACATGTGCTTACACAAAAACACAAGGACAACATGAGTTGTTTTGAGAAAAAAACGAAAAATTAAATTTTTCTTCGGAATCAAAGGACTAAAACGTTATTAATGCAGAATGTCTGTTCTCTGTCTTTTTACTGGAGCACAACCTGCCACTGAATGCATCGGATCACGCTGCAGCTTTATTTAGAAAAATGTTTTCCCGATAGTGAAATCGCTAAGAAATACTGAAGTGCTAGAACCAAAACAGGTGCAATTGTTAAAGAAATGGGTTTGAAAAATAAATCTTCAGTTATTGATTGCGTTGAAACAGCTCCATTCTGCCTCTCTACGGATGGAAGCAATAATACCGATTCAAAACTGTATCCAATTGTTGTTTCTTTTTTTAATCCAGAGTCTTCAGAAATTGAGTGCAGTTTACTTTCTGTCCCCACTTTAGAAGGACATTTGACAGGCTTTAATATAGTACAGATAATTATTAAAATTTTAAAAGAAAATGCAGTCCCTCTGGATAATTGCTTAGTACTTAATGCCGATAATGCACCAGTATTGGTAGGCTTGGGAAGACTGGTGTTGCAGGCATCTTAAGAAAGGAAAATTCAGATTTGCAGATTAGGTGCACCTGTCACCCCTTAAATTTAGCAGCTGAAAAGGGGGCAGCTTCTTTACCAATAAATATGGATAAACACATTGTTGATATTTATTATTATCTTGAAAGGAGTTCTAAAAGGAAGGAAAAATTGAAACAGTTCCAACAGCAGTTTACAATTAGAAAACTTGGAGGAAGTTATAAAATCAGCTAGGATTGACACCCAGTGGAGTTTAATTGGAAAACTGAAAGATGCTGATGGAATTTTAAAATATAGTGAACTGTCTAGAATTATGTTGGCCATCTTGATAGTTCCCCGTAGTAATGCAGAGTGTGAAAGGATTTTCAGTATTGTTGCGAAAACGAGGACTAAATTTATATCCAATATTAGTGATCGCACATTAGAAAAACTTTTATTAGTGAAAGCAGGCCTATGTGGCATTTGCTATAAGCAAAATTATGAAGTTTCTTTCGTAAAGAAAGCAAAATCTGCCACTATTTATAACATTTGTACAAAAACTGATTAAAGTTTTTTTTTTTTTGTTTCGTTGTTCTCTTAAATGATGTGAGTAATAAAATTTTTTTTATGTGTAAGGTATTTTTGTGTTGCTTGCATTTAAGAATTAGTTACAGTCAAAAGTTGTAAATTTGGACACCCATAATCCGGACCTCAAAGCTACAGACTTTCTGCGCATGTGTCGCATTCACGGATGTGCAGAGGCGTTTACGAGTGCGTGTAAGACCTTTACGGCTGTGAATATGCATGTGCGTTTAATGTGTAACGGACGGTATAAGCTAAGCTAAAATTATGTAATTCAGTTAATGTTGCAGATTGCGTTGTTCCTTAATCTTCAAGTTGGATCTGGCTTATTATTTTTGCAGACTGTTAGAGCAATTTTATAAGAGTAAGCTTGAACTTTCGATTATGTCAAATAGAATTTCCCATATATATTTACTAATATGTAAAAGATCTACAAAGCGAAAGTATGTTTCAAAAATCCGAAATCTGTTTATCAATT